GAGGGTTGCGATCCGTTGCCGGACACGAAAAAGGACAAAAAGGAAAAAAAAAAAAAAGAAAAGAAAAACTAGTAAACTTCCCTGTCTTGGTGCCTTTGCTAATGCTGGGTGCACCCTGCACCCCCATGCCCCCAGGAATATTTTCATTGCTCCAGTAATAATTCTACCACTTCTTCAAGGGCATAGAGAGTGCCTCTTCCTCCAACTCTCTCCCCACTCTCCTGCTGTCTGTGTGACTGTCTCCCCGCCAGCCTGGTGCTCCCTCGCAGCAGAGGGCAAAGCTTGTCCCTCTTTGAAGCTCTGGGCTCAGCCCTGGCCCTCTGACTCCCCACCCCCCACCGCCCCCCACAGCCAGGTCCTATCAGTGCTGACCTGGGTGGGGCCTCACACTTACTGGTCCGAACCTGCTTCCACTTCCCTGCAGGTGGAGTGCGAGCTTGCAGTGTGTACTTGGCAATGGGGCTGTGATTGTCGAAGCCACGGCTCCAACTGAGCTGGATAGTGGTGTCGCCAATGTCCCTCACCACCACGCCTCCTGGGGGACCTGGCGGACCTGCCCCAAGAGGTCAGAGAGCGGTGGGTCAGAATTGGGCAGCTTTGAATTTGAGCCCATTCTCCAGGCCAGGCTTGGGCTGCTGCAGTACCAAGACAGGGCAGCAGAGGGCACAGCAAACACACACCAGGTGGGAGGCCAAGGGGTGGGGGCCCCAGGTGGCGAATGCCAGCTTGTGTATATGTGTGGGTGTTGGGGGCGGGGGCGCTCAGAGAAGCCGCTGCATAGAGGGATGTATAGATTTCCCAGCACTAGGCTTTGAAAACTTCTGGGCTCAGCAAAGTACTCCCATTTGAGGATGTACCTGGGAGTGGAATTTTTCAAGTTTGACTTTGGAAGAAAAACATTCCACCCATTTAGGACCTGAGAAGGACCCTGGGATCTGATCTGCTTGGCCATCTTCTGTCAGAATCCCTTCCCCAAAGGTTTCAGGGCAAGGAAGGGCAATGGGTAGAGTAGCTCAGAATAGCCCAGCCGGCTTCTAAGGGAGTTGGGGGTGGATGCAGAGGTGGGAAACCCCGTCACCTCGGACCAGGACTGTGGCCTCCTTGGACGCACTGTCCACCACCGTCTGGGCCATGCACGTGTACTTCCCACCATGGCGCAGCTGGGCATTCAGGATGGTCAGATCCCCAACAGTCTCCTTCTGCACATGGGGGACAGTGAGGCAGGGAGGGCAGGTCAGAGGAAGCAGCCCTGGCTAGCAGAGGCCACAGGGCAGGATAACGAGAACAGTAGTGAGGAGTGAGTCTTGCTGGGTGCCTGGAATTCCAGGGTTGTCCCTGACTCTCCTAAATGCATGGCCTTTGGGGGACTCCAGGAAGGGTGGTTATTAATCCAAGGTGGGCCTACCATGCATGGGCCTGAGGGAGTGGGGAAGGGTTTGGGGGGCTTGAAAGTGGTGAAGGCTAAGGGCATCTTGGGTCCACTGTCTGTCTGGAAGGAGGGAGGAGCCATGGGGGCTCTGGCCTCAGGCCTCACCACACTGGCTCTCCGGTAGTGACCCCCAGGCTTGTCGAAGTCAATGGGGAAGTCTTCCAGGGTCCAGGTAAAGGTAAGGTCCATGGTGGGGTCATGGGAGGCATGGCACTGTAAAGTCAGGTTGTCACCCAAGTTGATGTCAGCACTTGAGGGGGCTAGAGTGATCTTGGTTCCATCTGCCAAGAAAAACAAGGCCCCTGGGTGGATGGGGAAGAAAACAGGCCCAGGCAGGGGCCACAGGGCAGGGGAGAGGCTCTGTCCCAAGCCCCAGGAAAGAAGAAGAGGCGGTGTGACCAATAGCTGTTCTGACACCTCAGCAGCACCATGAGTGTGTGGCAGGTGGGGGGTAGGATCAGATCTGGAGGGTGGCGAGGGGGTGGTCCCAAGCGGAACTGAATCCTGGGGGGGGGCCTCAAAACTAAACTAGGAGCCATATGGGGACACAAGGGCAGATGGTGGGGAGGGTGGCACCCTGTACTAGCCCGACCTCACCAAACCACAGCCCTTACCACGCACAGACAGGATTCCAGTGCTGTTGGCTTTGCCCATGAAATTCTCAGCAAAGCAGGTGTATTTGCCTTCATCTGACCGACTGATGTTTCTTATGATCAAGGTGCCATCTGGGGTTACAGTCACTCTGCAGTAAGGACAAAGCAGGTCTGGCCAACCCAGGGACACACTGGAGTCACGGGAAGGGGACTCGCCTCCAAGGAGAAGGAGGAACAGCAGGAACTGCTTGGGGTGGGGTGTGGGTGGTACCTGCTGCTGTTGACCAAAATCTCAGTGCCTTTGCTCCAGAGCACTGTGGCCTTTGGAGCTGCCCGGGGCTGACAGGGGATAATGATCTCTCCCCCTCGGGCTGCAGGGATCAGACGCCTTACAGGATTCAGCCTGAAGTCAGGGGCCAGTGCTGGAAGGAAAGGGGAGGCCACATAGTCACCCATGAAATAACAGTATTCATCAGTCTTGGTTAAGACGTCAGCTGCCATGTGCTAAGCACTGTACGTACCCTCCGAGACCAACCCATGAGCAACCCCTAGCAGCAGCCCTTCTCATCAGCCCCACTGCCATCGCTCTGGTCCAAGCCACCAAATCTCCTGCCTGGTTTATTGAAAAGCCCCCTAATTGGTCTTCCTGTTTCTGCACGTCCATCCTACAATATTTCTCCTACCAGCAGCCAGAAACGTCTTTTTGAAAATGTAAATCAGGCACTCAAAATAAAGTTCAGCTCTTTACACGGCTAAAAAATAAGTCCCTACCTGTCCAAGCACATCCTGCTCTCTCTCCCCTCATTCATTATTATTATTGTTTTTTTTATGGTGTCGTCTGCACTACGTTCAGCCAGTGAGCTACCGGCCATCCCTATATAGGATCCGAACCGCGGCCTCGGCGCTACCAGCGCCACACTCTCTCGAGTGAGCCACGGGGCCGGCCCTCTCCCTTCATTCATTATCCTCTAATCGCCTGGCCATTTTTTCTGTCCTTTGAAGTCATCAAGTCTTTTCCTACTTCAGGACTTTTGCACTGGCTGTGCATTTTGCCTGAAAATACCCCAGATCTTCACATGGCCGGGTCCTTAACACTCAGGTCACATCCCGAATGTGACTCCCTCAGAGAGGTCTTCCTTATCTAACCGGTCCACCTCACCCCCATCACTCTATGGGACTTTCTTTACATTGTATTTTTTATGGCTACCTGAAATTGTTTAATTATTTGATTTTGTATTTATTCATGCCTTTCTCTACACTGGATTGTAAGCTACTTAGAGGCAGAGACCAAATATTCTGTGTTCATTCCCTATGAGGTGCTGACCAAGTATTGGTTGAATGAATGAATGAATGAATGAATGAATGAGTGTTGGTTAAGCCTCCCTACAACTTGATGAAGTATCATTATGTCCATTTTACAGATGAGGAAACAGGCTCAGCAAGCTCAAGTCACACAACTAAATATAGGCACCAGCTGACGTTTACTGGGCACCTGTTACTGGGCACCTGTTACTGGGCACCTGTTACGTGCTGGACAGGCCCCGTATGTTCTGTCTCCACCCTCTTGTTTACTCCTCACCACAGCCCTATGAGGGCAGGACTATTACTGCCCGCTTTTTATAAATCAAGAAATGAGCTGGCTGGTTAGCTCAGATGGTTAGGGCATGGAGCTGATAACAGCAAGGTCCGGATTTCAATCCCTGTATTGGCCAGAAAAAAAAAGAAAAACAGAGACACAGAAATGAATTAAATTGCCAAGGGTCACATAGCCAAAGGGGCCAGGTTAAACACAGATCTGATTGATTTGGTTTCCCCTGACTGTTGCCACCATTTTTTTCACTGCAGCAAACATTTACTTTGTCTTTCTAGACATGGAACAAGTCAGAGACCCTGTCCTCTGGGAGCCCTCCATCTAGTGTCTCCCCTCCTTTCTTAAATTTCTGAGTTCTACTCAGAAGCTGTCGGAAAACTGCCAGGGTGTGTGTGCGTGTTTAGAAATGCTGCAACTCAGAACTCCTAAAGCCTCCCAGGTGTCCCCAGGGATGCCCCTGCTTCCCAGGGCCCTTTACCTTGCACGGCCAGCTCGGCACTGGCGTAGATGGTGCCATGCTTATTCTCTGCCACACACTGGTACATGCCCGAGTCCTCCAGGCTCAGCTTGGAAAACCGCAGGTCCCCAGCCAACACTTCCACCCGGTTCTGTGCAGAAGAGCCCAGCTCAGGGCAGGTCAGGGGGATCAGGGCCACCGGAGGACCAGGGAGGAGGGGTCGGCAAGGGTGGGTACAGTGGAGTCTGAAGGTTGACAGTTCCTCAAGGATTGGGCTCATATATCCAGCGCTACTTCAGGACTGCCTGTAATCTCAAGACTCAGAGATTACCCAGGCCTCCCTGAAGCCAAAGAGGCAAGGTGACCCACTCAGGACCACATCAGCTTTTTGTGGCTGAGTTGTGCCTGACCCAGGTCTCTGAGACTATCCAGTTGATCAATCTGTGGCCATGTGACTCTGGGATAGAAAGAGGCACCTAGAACCACCCTATGGTGCCCTAATTAGCCCAGAGGGATTACAGGGTTTCAGGGAGGCTTGGGGTGTGTGGGGTAATCAGGGGAGCAGAGGATGGTGGTGGTGTGTGGGAGGAAGCCCCAGGTGTCCTACCTGGGATGCCAGAGGCTCCCCATTCCGCAGCCAGCGCACTGTGGGCCGGGGCTTGCCGGCGGCCGCGCAGCCCCAACGCAGGTTGGAGCCGATGTCGGCCTCCGTGTCTGAGATCACCTTGAGCCACTCAGGCTGAGCTACGGCGAGCAAGGGAGAGAAAACCTGGGATGAGCTGGGAGGAATCTCCCGCTTATTAAATGGAACTTAATCGCAGGGCTGCAATACCCGTACCAGGCAGCAGAGGGTGCTATCGGCATTCCAGGATGGAAAGGACAAAGGGGGGAGGGGGCAGGAAGAAGCCGGCACAAGAAAGGGGGCACTTTTTGATTGTGCCAGTGGCTGTTTTAGGGACTTAAATAATTTAAAAGCCTTCTGTGTGCTTCTGCACCGCCAACCGAAACTCTGAGCTGGCCACAGCACTAGCCTTTCTTTTCCCATACTCGGTGCAGTCCTGGGCAAGAGGGCTCCAGCAAGGGTCCTCCCAGTCTCCTCAGGGACAAGGATGAAGGCAGGGGCAGGTGTCCCCGGCTCTGTACCCTGCACGATGATGCGGCCCTGGACGGTGTCGCGGCCCTTAGAGTTCTCCGCCTCACACTCATAGGTGCCCTCATCTTCAAAGCTGACGCTGGGGATCTGCAGAGTGGGCTCGGCTGTGGCCCACTGGGGGGACAAGGAGCCATCCACTTTGCGCCACTTGATCCGGGGTACAGGGCTGGTAGGGGAGACAAAGGCAGAAGGGGTGGGCAGAGCTGAGCCATATTCCTGTGCCTGCAGCTCCTGGTACCTGGACTCTCAGACCCTCCTGAGATGCTGGGTGGGGATGGGTGGGGGTGGGGAGGGTTAGGAGGAGGGCAAGGNCTACCTGGGATGCCAGAGGCTCCCCATTCCGCAGCCAGCGCACTGTGGGCCGGGGCTTGCCGGCGGCCGCGCAGCCCCAACGCAGGTTGGAGCCGATGTCGGCCTCCGTGTCTGAGATCACCTTGAGCCACTCAGGCTGAGCTACGGGGAGCAAGGGAGAGAAAACCTGGGATGAGCTGGGAGGAATCTCCCGCTTATTAAATGGAACTTAATCGCAGGGCTGCAATACCCGTACCAGGCAGCAGAGGGTGCTATCGGCATTCCAGGATGGAAAGGACAAAGGGGGGAGGGGGCAGGAAGAAGCCGGCACAAGAAAGGGGGCACTTTTTGATTGTGCCAGTGGCTGTTTTAGGGACTTAAATAATTTAAAAGCCTTCTGTGTGCTTCTGCACCGCCAACCGAAACTCTGAGCTGGCCACAGCACTAGCCTTTCTTTGCCAGTGGCTGTTTTAGGGACTTAAATAATTTAAAAGCCTTCTGTGTGCTTCTGCACCGCCGACCGAAGCTCTGAGCTGGCCACAGCACTAGCCTCTCTGTCTGCACCGCCAACCGAAACTCTGAGCTGGCCACAGCACTAGCCTTTCTTTTCCCATACTCGGTGCAGTCCTGGGCAAGAGGGCTCCAGCAAGGGTCCTCCCAGTCTCCTCAGGGACAAGGATGAAGGCAGGGGCAGGTGTCCCCGGCTCTGTACCCTGCACGATGATGCGGCCCTGGACGGTGTCGCGGCCCTTAGAGTTCTCCGCCTCACACTCATAGGTGCCCTCATCTTCAAAGCTGACGCTGGGGATCTGCAGAGTGGGCTCGGCTGTGGCCCACTGGGGGGACAAGGAGCCATCCACTTTGCGCCACTTGATCCGGGGTACAGGGCTGGTAGGGGAGACAAAGGCAGAAGGGGTGGGCAGAGCTGAGCCATATTCCTGTGCCTGCAGCTCCTGGTACCTGGACTCTCAGACCCTCCTGAGATGCTGGGTGGGGATGGGTGGGGGTGGGGAGGGTTAGGAGGAGGGCAAGGGGACCCTGGGCCTGGAGAGAACAGAGGGAGAGAGGGCGCCCATTGGCTGATTCTCATGCTCTTTTCCCAGGTGGGCTCAGAGCACAAGCAAGGAAGGGTCAAGAGAAGGGGCTGTATCCCCCTCTCCCCTGCAACAATTGTGAAGCCAATGAAGTTAGTCCCCTGCAGCAGGCTTGCCCTCCCCTGCACTGGTCACCATGCCTCTAGGTCTGCCTTCCTCAACAGTGGCATGTGACCTGGGTCTTTGTGTGTCCCTCTTCCCACTGCCCTAACAAGGCTTTGCATCTACTTTTCAAAGGGATTTTAGATGTTAGTAACCTGTGTACTAAAATGGACTGAGGTACCAGTGAGCCTTAGAGGCTTAAGATCCTTCCATGTACTTTTCATATGGACTTTCTGGAAGGCCAATAATTTTCCACAAAGCAGCAGATATTTGAGGAAAGAGGGGACCGAAGTACAATCACATTCTTTCATTCATTCTACAAACATTTATTGAGCACCTGATATTTGCTTAGCTCTGTTCCAGTAAATCCTCTTCCTGGGAACGCAAGAAAGATAACACTTTCTGTTGGAATTTATAAGTAAATTAACTGTTGACATTCACGGAACACTTCCTAAATGCCAGGCACCTTTCTAAGCAGTTTAAATATATTAACTCATTTAATCCTCATAACAATCTTATGAGGTAGGTACTATTATAAGGGTACTTCAAAAAGTTCATGAAAAAATAGAATTAAAAGACAAGAATATTTGCATGAACTTTTGGAAGCCTCTCATATTATCACCATTTACAAATAAGGAAACTAAGGCACAGAGAGGTCAGGCAGTTTACCCAACATCTCCCAACCAGCAAGTGGCAGAGCTGGGATTTGAACTATGCAGGCTGGGTTGGAGTGCACACACCGTGCTCCCTGTCTCCAGCCCCGGGCACTCCCGAGCTGTCTGAGCCTGCCGTGCATGGCTGTGAGGACCCAGTGAGCCAGTATGTGCTAGGCCCCTGGCATGGCAATGCCTCACTCAGAAAGGTGGTGCTCAGTGAGCGGTGGGGGTACCCCTGTGCACTCAGGACTCTGCTAGGCCCTGCGAAGGGCACTGAAATGACAGCACTGACCCTGCCTGTCCTCCTCCTGGGGTCACCTGCATCCCTGAGGGACCCTGAGAGGCTATGCCCTGGCCTCAGGAAGTGCCCCTTCCTCTTCCACACTCACTTCCCGAAGGCAAAGCACTCCAGGGTTATCTGCTGTCCCACCAGTGCATACGTCTCTGCTGGGAACTTGGCCTTGATGCTGGGTGCAAAGAGCCGGGTATCTGGCGAGAGAGGGGTTTTGCAAATCAGATGCAAATGACTACAGGTCAGATGCTCCTGTGCCATTCAGAGCCATCTGTCTGGGCAGCTGGGTTGGGTCTCAGAAGACTTAGGCAAGGGTCTGAGGCCTTACAGCAGGATGACCCAGGAGTCCAGGGCCTGGATCCTGAGCCCTGGGAGCTGCTCTTAGAGCCATCTGTCTGGGCAGCTGGGTTGGGTCTCAGAAGACTTAGGCAAGGGTCTGAGGCCTTGCAGCAGGATGACCCAGGAGTCCAGGGCCTGGATCCTGAGCCCTGGGAGCTGCTCTTCACAATCTCCAAGGGAAAACCCCTTTTCTCAATGCCCACTGATCATTTCAGCTCCCGCCTCCTCTCCATGCCCAGCTGATCCTGACCTTCGGCAGCCAGGTTGAGCTGAGCGAACTTGCTGAAGACACTCTTGGTGGAAAAGTCCATGTGGCTGGTGGCCAGGCAGGAGTAGTTGCCCAGGTCCGAGGCATTGGTCCGGGCAATGTACAGGTTCCCTGTGGTCTGGGACACGAAGTGACGCCCATCCGTCGGGATGAAGTTAGGGAACTCGTTGAGGAGCCAGCGATAGGACAAGCCTAGGATGTGGGCAGTTTGAGGAAACCAGGGTGCCGGGCAAACAGGGTAATTCTGGGTAAGATCCCAACATGCTGTGGGAATGTGCAGTCCCTGTCCTGAGTCCCCGTGCTCTGAACTGCAGTTGAAGGGAGATCCTGAGGGAAGATGTGGCTTTATTCCCGTCCTCAGGGAGTGCTGAGTCTGCTGGGGAAGCCAGCCCTTAGGGACCTCCCAGTCTGAAGGGGGGCACGGGCACAGAGACAGAGAATGACAGAGGCTTTATTCCCGTCCTCAGGGAGTGCTGAGTCTGCTGGGGAAGCCAGCCCTTAGGGACCTCTCAGTCTGAAGGGGGGCACGGGCACAGAGACAGAGAATGACAGACCAATAAAAGAAACACGGAATAATTTAAAGCCAGGGAACCAAGGGTCATTCGCCACCTTTTATCCCATCCTTCCTCTGCTGAGCATCTAGAAGCCCTTCCTGTGCCCTCTCTGTCTGATCCTGGCCCAGGGTCCCAACTCACCTGGGTAGTGGGCAGGCGGGTTGCAGGGCAGCATCACCCCCCAGCCTTCATAGGTTTTCACTGGGTCTCGCTCCTCCTTGGAGAATTCCTGCAGAACTGGAGGTGGAGACCAGGGCGGCTCGGGCACTGGCCTCCAAGCCTGGGAGCCCCCTCCCCAACTCATCCTCCACAGGGAAGTAGCAGTTCCCTAGGGCTTGTCCCCTGTCCTTTCTGGGTACTTTTTTCGCTCGGGCACTGACCTCCAAGCCTGGGAGCCCCCTCCCCAACTCATCCTCCACAGGGAAGTAACAGTTCCCTAGGGCATGTCCCCTGTCCTTTCTGGGTACTTTTTTCCCAGCCCCCTCTTCCTCTCCCCCTAAGTTCCTTGGCCCCCATGGGTCTCACAGCCAAAGCGGAGGATGGCCTCCCTGCTGACAACAGTGCCCACTGGGTTAGAGGCCAGGCACTGGTAGACGCCGGCGTCCTGTGCCTTGGTGGGGCTCATGATGACCAGGTTGCCGCCCACCAGCTGGTGACGGGAACCTGGCTCCAGCTTCATCTCGGTCCCGTTCATCTTCCACCTGCAGCAGGGGGTGGGAGGCGGAGCCTCTGAGTCCTGCCAGGTGGCAGGACTGATGTGAGAAAAACCTGTACAGCTGCCCAGGGTCTCCCAGCACCCACTGCAGGGGCCTCACCTATAGGTGGCAGGAGGGCTGGCCCGGGCGCGGCATGCTAGCAACACCTGTTCCTCTGTGGACTCCTCTGGGAAGAGCAGACCGAGGGGCTGCTCCTCAAAGACAGGCCCAAAGGTGGCTGGGGATGCCCGGGCTGAACTCCGTGCTGCAGATGGGGGACACCGCCAGAGACCTCAGCGTGCGCTGTGCAGCAGAACTTGCCACGATGATGCCCCGTTCGCTGTGGTGGCCACTAGCCACTTGTGGCTATCGAGCTCTTGAAATGTAGCCAGTACAGCCAAGGAACCAACTTTTATATTTTACTTTATTAATTAATTTAAATAGCCTAGACAGGCCCCATCTAGTCAAGTTAGCTCAGTTAATCACTCATCCTACACTCAGGTATAGAGCACCTGCTGTATACCTCGCAGAAGGACTGATCTGCAGGGTGTGAAGTGCATGTCACCAGCCAAAAAGGTGGAGAGAGGAAGCGTGTCTCTAGAGTCCAATGCGTGGCCCAGTGGAACACGCTCAGGCTTTGGGGGCTAGGCTGGGCCTCCTACCAGCTGTGTGATGTTGGGCAAGTTATAGAAATTTCTGAGCCTCGATGTCTTTGCCCATGAAATGAAAAGAATACAAATTCACCTCCCAGGTCTGTATGAGGATTCGGCCAGAAAAACGTGGGTAAGGTGGCAGGCACAGGAAGTGTGCTCAGCAAATGTCTGCTGGACCCTGGTGCGGGGTGGGCTGGGGACTGGGGGAGAAGGAAGACCTTCTGGTGGGTGGATGGTGGGCAAGTTACTTTTATAAAATTCCAGTGTCACAATTCAAGAAAGAGAGGCCCAGCAAAGGGAGTGACTTGCTCATGGTCACACGGCACATCTGTGGCACAGAAAGTCCAAACTTCAGGTTTCCTGAACTTGTTGAACAAACGGGTATCACACACGCACATGGAGTCTTCATGCCAAGACCTGGCCCAGGGCAGAGGCCTCCCTCTTCACGCGCATCCTACCTCAGCAGGGCAGGGGACACAGAGACACAGACGGGCAGCGCTTCACGTCTGCCTTTCCACAGGGCTGGGGGTGGGCTCTGTCTACTGACTGGTGGGGCCAGGCCACCCCNCAGGCAGGAGTAGTTGCCCAGGTCCGAGGCATTGGTCCGGGCAATGTACAGGTTCCCTGTGGTCTGGGACACGAAGTGACGCCCATCCGTCGGGATGAAGTTAGGGAACTCGTTGAGGAGCCAGCGATAGGACAAGCCTAGGATGTGGGCAGTTTGAGGAAACCAGGGTGCCGGGCAAACAGGGTAATTCTGGGTAAGATCCCAACATGCTGTGGGAATGTGCAGTCCCTGTCCTGAGTCCCCGTGCTCTGAACTGCAGTTGAAGGGAGATCCTGAGGGAAGATGTGGCTTTATTCCCGTCCTCAGGGAGTGCTGAGTCTGCTGGGGAAGCCAGCCCTTAGGGACCTCTCAGTCTGAAGGGGGGCACGGGCACAGAGACAGAGAATGACAGGCCAATAAAAGAAACACGGAATAATTTAAAGCCAGGGAACCAAGGGTCATTCGCCACCTTTTATCCCATCCTTCCTCTGCTGAGCATCTAGAAGCCCTTCCTGTGCCCTCTCTGTCTGATCCTGGCCCAGGGTCCCAACTCACCTGGGTAGTGGGCAGGCGGGTTGCAGGGCAGCATCACCCCCCAGCCTTCATAGGTTTTCACTGGGTCTCGCTCCTCCTTGGAGAATTCCTGCAGAACTGGAGGTGGAGACCAGGGCGGCTCGGGCACTGGCCTCCAAGCCTGGGAGCCCCCTCCCCAACTCATCCTCCACAGGGAAGTAGCAGTTCCCTAGGGCTTGTCCCCTGTCCTTTCTGGGTACTTTTTTCCCCAGCCCCCTCTTCCTCTCCCCCTAAGTTCCTTGGCCCCCATGGGTCTCACAGCCAAAGCGGAGGATGGCCTCCCTGCTGACAACAGTGCCCACTGGGTTAGAGGCCAGGCACTGGTAGACGCCGGCGTCCTGTGCCTTGGTGGGGCTCATGATGACCAGGTTGCCGCCCACCAGCTGGTGACGGGAACCTGGCTCCAGCTTCATCTCGGTCCCGTTCATCTTCCACCTGCAGCAGGGGGTGGGAGGCGGAGCCTCTGAGTCCTGCCAGGTGGCAGGACTGATGTGAGAAAAACCTGTACAGCTGCCCAGGGTCTCCCAGCACCCACTGCAGGGGCCTCACCTATAGGTGGCAGGAGGGCTGGCCCGGGCGCGGCATGCTAGCAACACCTGTTCCTCTGTGGACTCCTCTGGGAAGAGCAGACCGAGGGGCTGCTCCTCAAAGACAGGCCCAAAGGTGGCTGGGGATGCCCGGGCTGAACTCCGTGCTGCAGATGGGGGACACCGCCAGAGACCTCAGCGTGCGCTGTGCAGCAGAACTTGCCACGATGATGCCCCGTTCGCTGTGGTGGCCACTAGCCACTTGTGGCTATCGAGCTCTTGAAATGTAGCCAGTACAGCCAAGGAACCAACTTTTATATTTTACTTTATTAATTAATTTAAATAGCCTAGACAGGCCCCATCTAGTCAAGTTAGCTCAGTTAATCACTCATCCTACACTCAGGTATAGAGCACCTGCTGTATACCTCGCAGAAGGACTGATCTGCAGGGTGTGAAGTGCATGTCACCAGCCAAAAAGGTGGAGAGAGGAAGCGTGTCTCTAGAGTCCAATGCGTGGCCCAGTGGAACACGCTCAGGCTTTGGGGGCTAGGCTGGGCCTCCTACCAGCTGTGTGATGTTGGGCAAGTTATAGAAATTTCTGAGCCTCGATGTCTTTGCCCATGAAATGAAAAGAATACAAATTCACCTCCCAGGTCTGTATGAGGATTCGGCCAGAAAAACGTGGGTAAGGTGGCAGGCACAGGAAGTGTGCTCAGCAAATGTCTGCTGGACCCTGGTGCGGGGTGGGCTGGGGACTGGGGGAGAAGGAAGACCTTCTGGTGGGTGGATGGTGGGCAAGTTACTTTTATAAAATTCCAGTGTCACAATTCAAGAAAGAGAGGCCCAGCAAAGGGAGTGACTTGCTCATGGTCACACGGCACATCTGTGGCACAGAAAGTCCAAACTTCAGGTTTCCTGAACTTGTTGAACAAACGGGTATCACACACGCACATGGAGTCTTCATGCCAAGACCTGGCCCAGGGCAGAGGCCTCCCTCTTCACGCGCATCCTACCTCAGCAGGGCAGGGGACACAGAGACACAGACGGGCAGCGCTTCACGTCTGCCTTTCCACAGGGCTGGGGGTGGGCTCTGTCTACTGACTGGTGGGGCCAGGCCACCCCTAATTGGCTCCTACCTCTCAATGCAGCTGATTTTCAGGCTCTCCTTGGTGGACGTGGGGGAGGGAGTCCCCATTAACCAATTAGTGCCTCCTCTCCCAGTGCATCCAGCTGTCAGTCCTGTTCCAGGGGTGGGGGATGGGCCGGCATGCTGCAGCTGAGGCCCAGCCTTGGCCCCCTGGGGGTGAGGGCAGCTGTTAAGCAGCTCTCAGAATGAGGTAGGAGACAGGGCTCCCAGAAATGGCCCAGTGCAGGCACTCCCCGCACCCCTCCCCACCTCCCACCACTCTTCCCTCACTGCTACCCCAGGCCTTGGAGGCATCATCTCGGCTGGAGAGCCCAGCATAATCCCAACTTAATGATGATGGTGGAGGGTAGAGACCCCTGCCCCAGCTGGGACTGCCTCGAGGAGAGGAAAAGGAGGGGCTGGGGAGGCAGCCAGGCTGCTGGGGACCACCTTGCACAATAGCAGCTTCCAGGAGCACTGTCTGGGCAGCAGGGGTGGCTGAGTGGGCCCGGGGCACAGTGACGCTCTATCTCTCTTCCTGAAAAAGCTTTCTCTGCACTCAGTCATACACACACCCTCACACTCGCTCAAATAGCCACACACACACCCCCACACCACTCTCCTACATGCACCTTCTTACATACACACTCACAGCGCACATACAGTCACACATATGAACCTCTCCAAGCTACTCAAATGGCCAAATATGCACATTTATACACACATCTGTGCCCAAGCACAAACAGCTGCCACGGTCGTGTATACTTATTTATATATATAATATAATTCTTAGTAATGAGAGTAATTCATGATAATAAAAATAGGTGCTATTGATTGAGTGCTTACTGATTGTCAGAAACCATGCTCCACATTTCCTTCCCATAACCTCTTTACCACATAGACACTGCCATTTTCTTATTTTACTAGTGTGGATCTAAGACTCAGAAAGGTTAAATACCTAGCCCCAGATTTGGACCTTGGCCAGCCTTACCCACAGCCAGCATTTTCAACCAGTGTCCGTGACACTTGACCTCAGTTTCCCATTGGAACCATCAGAGGACATGTTCCATCCCAAAAGTATGAGTCAGAATTCTAGGAGTGAGGCCCAGGAATCCGAATTTTTAAAAAATGCCTAGTGGGCATTCTGAAGGGCAGCAGGGGATGAGAGCCACTGCGCTGTGCTGTAAGGCCTCCTAGACCTTTGCCATGTTATAGATGAAGGAAGAATGACCCAGAGAGGGCAAGTGGTTTGCCCTGGGTCACACAGCAAGATCGCCATGATCACCATATCAGCCCGGACATAGCACCACTCCCCGTGACACCTCACTCATGCGACCACCCTCTCAAATATGCACATCCACAGACACACCCGCACATCCCCATGCTTTCCTGCACCCTACATACACGCCCACCTACACATGCACCTTCCTATGTGCGCACACACACACGCTCCCTCCCAGGCAAAGCCAGCCCTTCCTTGCAGTTCTCGCTCCCCATCCTCTGATCCCTGTCTGGGTAGCTCTTTCCCACAAACACAGGCCTCAGACACCTCACAGAGGAAGGGGCCTGGAGAAATGAGAAAGCACAGGGGAATGCTCAGTGCCTGTCCTTGCATAGGTGCCAGGACCCCAAAGCTGTAACCTGAGGGCAGGTCAGCAAGGAAAGCCAAGAGTGGGCACCTTCCCGGGAGGGGTGGGAGCAGATGATGGGATTTGCCCACACCCCTTGCCTTGGGTGATGCTAGAGACCACTCTCCAGCCTGAGGAGAGGAGGGCTTGCCAGAGACCAGCTGGCTGAGCCTCCCGGCCTGCCCTCTTCTCCACCTCTCCTTCCCCTCTGCCAGCCTCCCTCCTGCCTTTATCCAAGCTGGGAGCAGCCCCGGGATGGGGACCTTGCCTGGGCTCCCTGCTCTGCCTCTTCTCTTCCCAGATCCTGTTCTACGCTCAGTCCGTCGGCTGGGATGCAGCGTTGCCTTGAATAACCCACCTAGAGTTGTGTGGGATTGACCACTGTCTCCTCACATCAGGGGACTCTAGAGCACTACCTAGAACTTTCTTCAATGATGGAAATGTTCTATAGTCTGTGCTATCCAATATGGCTACAGGACACTTGAAATGTGGCTGGTGCAACTGAGGACATCATGTTTTTTATTTTTTTTTTTCCTTTTTGTCTTTTTTCGTGTCCGGCAACGGATCGCAACCTTCAGTGTCACGCCCGTACCGGACCGGGACCGGCAACGGGATCGCAACCCTCGGTGTCGCGCCCGCACCTCGCTCAGCCAGTGAGCGGCCGGTCTGTATGTGGGATCCGAACCCTTGGCGGGAGCGTCGCCACACTTCCCAAGTGGCGCACTGTAGCAGTGCACCACCGGGCCGGCCCAGGACATCATGTTTTAAGTTTAATTGGATCTTAGTTTTCATAGTCTTTTTCATAGTTTTCATGTGGCCATTGCCTACCATATTGGACAGTGCAGCCTTGGAGGCTACAACTCCGGGCTGATATCATGGCGATCATGGCCATCTTGCTGTGTGACCCAGGGCAAGCCACTTACCCTCTCTGGGTCATTCTTCCTTCATCTGTAACATGGCAAAGATGCATTCCCTCTCCTAACCTCAAAGAGAAGGTAAGATCCACAAATGGGAAAATGTTAGCAAGGAAATGCTCTCAGAAATACAGGTGCTACAGCATTGCAGAGGCAATTATTTCTGTAATCATCTCCCAAATTATAGCAATGATATAACAGCATAATCATCCCTGCTAGGCTTCGGAGCCCAGATGAACCTTCTTACCTGGACAGGAGACAAGGGCCACGGTGGCCAGCAGCAGCAGGTATGGCCTCCTCCTGGTGGCTGTCCCCATGGTGGGCGTTCTGGGCAGAGGAGGGGAACAGAGGAGAGGAGGCTGAGCCCGGCTCTGGGAGAGTCTGGCTGGAGGCTGAGAAGGACCTAGGGAGGTGGATGGAGCAGAGGGCTCTGAGTCGAGGGAGCCCCTCCCAGCTCCAGGCACTGCTGGGTCGGTAATGCTGCCGGAATTGCTCAAGCACTAATCCTCCCTGGGGCCCTAGGGGAAGGGGCTTGGCTATTACCAAGGAGCTCTTCCTGGGGCTGAGTGCCTCCTACCGGCCCCCTGGGAGTCTGGCTCTGCCCGGTACCCCCACCCCCACCCCCTCTAGCCAGCGGGGTGCTGCTCAGGAAGTGAAAGCAGCGACTAATTGGGAGGCAAGAACCCACCTGCCCCCTCACCCAGCGATAGCTATTGATGTGGGTCCAAAAGAGAACAGGGCCCGTGCCTGGGCTGGGGAACCAGTAACACCTTCCTCTGGCAATTGGGATTGGGGTGACTCTCCCCTGCCCCACCCCCACAACTGCCTGGGTGGGGGCTAAGCCCCTTTAGGAGCTGTGTTAAGTCTCTTGGGACCAGCCTTGTTTTTCTAGCAGTGAGGAGGGGTCTCACAGCTTTATCCACATCCTTTCACCAGGGTACCCAGGTAAGGCACTTAGAGGCTTTGCATGAGTGACCTTGGCCCCACTAGCAATGCTTCCAACCAGATGGGCTAATGGGCCCAGCAAGCCTTCAGGGCTGAAAGAGTTAAAGCAGCTCCCAGAGGAGCCTCTCCCTTGCATAGAGATGACCAGATACCTAGTTAAATCCTGGAGCTGTTTCCTTAACAGTTTAAAACCTGTTTCCTCTGGGCTCCTGGGAGCAAGTCAGAGGTCCGTCCCATCAGTCTGAGCGATCTGGAGAGGCGAGGGCAGGGCAGGGCCAGTCTTCTCACCCACTCCCCATCCCTGGATGGGTTTTCTGAGCTCTGAGGGGAGTGTGGAATCTCAAGAGCCTGCATTCTGGTTACTGGAGTGAGTCTGGGACACTGGGCTCCCACAGCTGCCTCTCAGAGCTGCCACAGGGCCCTGATCACCTGGCTGCAGATTCTGCTTCTCTACTCTGCCTGCCTATTCTGCTGAAACCTAAGAGCAGGGGGAGGAGGTCTGGGGCTGGGGAGAGGCTGGCTAGGGGCTCTTCCGCTAACTGGTTGCAAGGCTTGTCCCATCTCTGGATCTCCATATCCTCATCTGTAAAATGCGTGCTCTCTAAGGTCACTTCCAGCTCTGGTTCTGTGATGCTCACCGAGAGTGCAGGGTGTGTGAGGGCCTGGGAATGTTGCCCCCCGAATGGGGGTGGGGGTTGGAGAGGGCAGGCTGCAGAGGACTTAAGACCACCACTGGGGCCAGCGCAGGGTCTGAAGACTGATGCCGGCTTGGGATCTGCCTTGTCCCACTTCACACTCTACTGCCTTGGAAAGAGAGCACCCAAACCTTTTTAAACCTCAATATCTGATAGCCCCACAACCTTTTCCTGCCTCCTCAACAGCTGCAGATGGCACCTGAAGGAGCTGGGGGAACGAGGGGAAGAAGTGGCCCCAGGGTCTGTCAGGGAGGGTGTGGGCAAGGGACACCAGGTGGAGCCGAGAAGCTGAGTGTTTGGCTGGGGGGTGTTGGAGCAGATGGCACTGCCTCCCACCCCGACTCCAGCTTCATATCCACTTCCCGCCATCAGGAAGGGTTCCTGGGTGCCACCACTCCCCAACTATCTGCCCCTCAGACATTTAGCACTTCCAGCCCCTCTGACATTCCCCCAACACACCATTTCCATTCCCCTGTAATGCCCTTCCTAGGAGAGGCACACCATCCTGCGAGGCGCTGTTCACATCTTAGGCTGGAAAGCACCTAAGATGCCCCCATCTGCACACAGTTAGAATTCAGCTCTGTTCTTGACCACACCCTTGGTGCTCTGCCCTTGGAGCTGTGTCTGTCTCCACTAGAGGGTAGGGAGCTCCCCAAGGGGAGAGACCATAATAGGTGTTGCTTGTGTGTTGCATGTAACTGGTTGAGAGCAACTGTGATTATAGGCCTGTGGGAGCCAGTAGAAAGACACTCACACAAAGGAGCTCTCTCTCTCTATCTGATAGGGCTCACAGGTCTTCAGTGCTCCCTCACGGCATCCCCAGGGCAAATTCACATGCGTGCGCGCACACACACACACACACACACACACACACACACGCAGTGTTTCACATCATGGGGAAATCTCAAAAGCATGCCCCTGAATGTTATACAAATGCAGGGAGTTATCCTCAGAAAAGGCGGGCATTGGGGCAATATGGAACCCTTCAGGATTTGTTATCTGATGGACAGGAGTTGGTAATGTTGATTCCATCTCTTAACAGCTTTGTGAGCTTGGACAAGTTCTTCCCCCTGTGGAGCCTCAGTTTTCTCATCTGCAAAGTGAAGATTATAACATGCACTTTATAGAGCTCTTCAGAGGGTTAGGTGAGGTAATGGATGGTAACGGTGTGGTTTTCAAGCTGATGCAAAACCTCGGGGCTGTTTGGACTTGTCTTGGGGTCACTGTGGGGAGATAGAGAGAAAGGATGGGGCTCCAGATCCCTTCCTCACTCCATCAGAACAGCTCCACTTATATCTGCTTTCCTACGAGGTTCCCTTTAAACAAAGGGGTCCACGGCTCCAAAAAGTTTGAAAATCAGCCCCTTGGCACTAGTGTGCCACATCCAGGTGTCTGGCACAGAGAAGGTGCTCAATCATCATTTGCTCCCTGCCCGCTGTCGGCCTGCCAGTCCTGGGACTTGTGGGTGGGGAGTGCTTGCAGGGTGCCTGCCCGGAGAGGAGCTTGGGCTGTAGGCATTTATCCTGAATGTGCCAGAGCAAGGCAGAGACAGATGACCAGGGGAGCTGTGGCCAGGAGCTGGAGACTCTGAGGTAGCTTCTGGGCAGACTCCCACCCCAGAGTGTCCAGCTGCCCTAGCAGTGCTAGCAAGAGCAGGGTGTGTGTGCATGTCTGTGTCCCAGTGTGCGTGTATGTGATGCTTGCATGAATATGTCTATCATGTCTATATGTCTCTGTGTATATGTGTTATCTAATCCTTGTGTTTCTGTGTATGTGCATGTGTCTGTGTGTCTGTGTATGGGTATGTCTACGTGTGTGCTTAGGGGTGTGTGCAAGGCTTGAGGACTCAATCCCTTACCTTGTTTCCCTGTGACCCACCAGGAGGCTTTGCACCTGAATCATTCACCTTCTATCCTGCAGTGGTCAGAATTATCTGTTATCTCAATTACCATAGGCCATGGATAATCCAGTCCCACAGCTCAGCCTAAAGTTCAATTTAATCCAGATTTTAACCAGCCATCTCTCCAGCCCAAAGGCCCTGGGTACCCTCTGGGGACTGAGACCTGCAGCCTTAAAGAAGATGTGTGTGTGTGGGGGGGGGGCTGGGATCCAGGAGCTCCTGGCTTTGCCCTTGGGGAGCACTGGTCTGCCTGATCGGATGTATATTGAGCTCCAGTGTGTGCCAAGGCCTTAGGTGAACACACACACACACACAGACAGTCTGGACTAGAGTTTGGAGTTTGTTGCCACCCTGAAGGTGAGGCAATTGGCATCCAGCTTTGCCCTGCATCCATTTCCATTACAGTCCTTACTAACCATGTGTCAGGCATTGTGCTAAGCACAGGGGACAGTAATAAAGACACTGCCTTTACAGAGCTCCCTAACCAACTGAGCACAGCCATAAGATGTGCTCATGAGTTCACAGATCAGTCATTCCCCATACCATCTGCCCTATGACATGTTCTAGAATGCCCGAGATGGAGGAAGCCTTTTTATCAGAACAAGGCTGGAGTGGAGCTATGCCAGGCCCAGAGCTGGCCCTGCGAGCCTTGAGCCAGCCAACCCTCACCCGGGCCAGCTGCCCTGGGCAGGGGTGCAGGCACAGGCTGGCACAGGCGGGCACAGGCTGTTGCCATTGGGGCCGGTCCTGGGAGGCACCAGCACATGGGGAAATGGGCCACTTGGAGGCTCAGGGGTACCAGAAGGAGCTGGTTGAATTGCTGGGACCGGGAAACAAAGGGCCTGGAGGACAGCTGGGGGACTTAAGGCTAGGAACTAGACTCCAGCATGTGACAGGTTTTTCTGGGCTAAGGACCCCAGCACAGAGCCAGTCAGAAAATGAAAGCTACAGTCCCCCCAAATGCTGCTTCTTAGGATGCCCAGTTCCTGGCCCTGAATCTCTTCCTTCTTCCTCCAGATAATGGAGATCGGAGCATTAAGGGATTTGGCAACTTTCCAATGGGTTGTGGTAGAAAAAGGGGGAGTTTGGAGCCCAGCTGAGGGCAGACACTAAATGATTTATTATCAGCCTACAAAGTACTGTAGGAGCCCCCCAGATCCCCATCTTGGCCTCTATCCTGTAGCACAGCACACAAGTTAATAGGGAGACTATTGAGTCAACCAGCCTACTGCTTACTAGCTAGTATAACCTTAATGTAACTGACTAGTATAACCCTAGTTATTATGTTCATTACTTAACCTCTCTGAGCCTCAGTTTCCATCTGCAAATGGGGATGAGAAGGGTAGGACCCATCTCACAGGACTGCTGAGGGTCAGTGTTATGCTGGCCCACAGATCGGGAAAGATCAGATCTTACAGCTGAGAATCCTCGCAGCCCTCATGTGTCCGCAGACACTGTGCCTGTCTGTGCGTCAGGCTTACTTCCACACAGTCATGATATTCAGGCTGCACTCACACGTGTTGAGAACTGACAAATCCACAAGCTCCCTGGGCAGGTGCCTCCCTCCTCTTATACTCCACAGGTGCAATGCACCTGGGTAAGCACCAGCACGTCACCCCAGGCTAGGGCACAAAACAGAGTTACACCCAATACAGTGCGTTCGGGAGGGCACACAGCTGGGACACGCATATGGGCAGTCCAAGCAGTGCTCCTCCCCAGCTGCCTGCACCTCCTGCCTGGCGGGATCCAGGATGGGTGCTCAGCATGCTTTCCTCTGTCTAGGACAGGAATTGCCACCTGGGATGGCACCACTGTCCTCCAGGAGGGTCTGAACCATTCCCACACCCCTCCGTAGTGGCCTGGGTAGGGACTGCTCGGGTACTCAGTGTGCCAGGCCAGGCAGCAGCTGGCAGGGGCAGGAGGGCCATGGCTGAGAGGTCTCTGTGGTACCCTGAGCTGGAGAGGTCCTTAGGGGGCAGAGGAGTCCCTCCCCAGCCCTCTCAGTGTGCGCCCTCACGCCTGCCTGTCAGTTTTCTCTGCAGGCTCTTTGAATTTGCAGCTGGTTCCCTGAGGCCCCAGCCCTGGTGCCCGCGTGCTCTGTGGGGAGAGCTGTGTTTCCCAGGCACATGGATTTGTCGGAGCTTTCAGCATTGGGCATGGGGGAGTCTGGCCCTTGGTCCGCAGCCTGGAGTCTCTGGCACCCCTGTCCCCAGCCTCTCTGGAGAAACCCTTTAAAGTAGAGAGTGGACAGAGGGGAGAGATTTATGTCCTCCTGGGAGGAAGCTTGTGATGAGGAACAGCCACCCCCAGACCTGAGGTTTTCCTGTTTGCTTGTGTGTAGCGTGGGGCAGTGCGTGAGGGCTTCAGAAGAAGGATCCTTTTCTGAGACGCCGCGAGTTAAGAAAAGTTGTTTCAACTTGTTTCTGAAGAACCAAGTCGGAAAGAAAAGTCCCTCGTGCATCCGCAGAGCAATTTCTGCACATCCTCACATCTCTGCTGAGAGGACGTTCGCCCCAATTCTCAGACAGTTCCCTGCAGGCTGGTCCAGAGCCTAAGCCCAGGTGAGGGTGGCTTCCGACCTGCCCTTTCCCTCAGGTTAGTTTCGCTTTTCCTCTGGGGCGCAGATTAACCATCACATCTCTGCTGAGAGGATGTTCCCCCCAATTCTCAGACAGTTCCCTGCAGGCTGGTCCAGAGCCTAAGCCCAGGTGAGGGAGGCTTCCGACCTGCCCTTTCCCTCAGGTTAGTTTCGCTTTTCCTCTGGGGCGCAGATTAACCTCGCCTCTTAGGCCTCACTGCAGGAAGGCTGCCCTCCAGTCCGATGCAGATTCTGAGAGGATGTGGGCTCAGGCCGGAGGATGTGGGCTCACCCAGCAGGAGACCCTGAATGGGTGCCCTGCACGAGGGGGTGGGTTGACTTCCACATCTAAGTAGGGAACCGAAGGGCTCATTAGATGAGAAGGACGCTGAGGTGTGTTTGGACCTGAGTGTGTCCTAGGATGGAAAGTGTTCAGGTTTTGGGTGACAACATTACACACCCTTGCTTTTGTCTGCATCCTCTTCGGTAAACAAAGAAACATGGGCTAATTTTGTAGCAAGGACTCATTAAAGCGAAGAAAGGACAGCTTTACTCCAGGATGGTTACTGTCAAGGCACAGAGCCCATAGAAACGCCCATGAGTGTTCCAAGTTAGCAACAGCCCCTGGGGCTTTGTTCTAGACCAGGCGTAGCAGTCTTCTTGAGGGAGGCCAGAAAGCAGGAAGAGATGAAGAGGGGTCTGTCTTCTCATGGACTCCTGAGTCACATCCACCTTCTACCATTTTACTGAGGCCGGAAGAAATTTACAGCCTCATCCAGCCCAACCTCTGCCTCTAGGCAGAAGTGTGTCTAATCTTGGACCAGACCCTAGTTCTCCAGGCCATTCCTAGAGTCATCCCAAAGCCCTCCTGAGGACTCATCATCCTAGTCAGGAAGTGTCACCTGCGGTCTATTTAAATCCCTTATGCTTTACTGGCATAATCTTTGCTCTGGTTCTTTCTTCCCTGATGCCATGGTTCTGCCCTACGAATACCTCCAAAAATACAAATACTGCCCACACTCAGCCTTAAAGATTGTCTTTGAAGTGTTCTTTCTCACCAACATTTGGGTTGAGGAAGTTTCTGGTAGGGGAACAATGTATCCTCCCACGGATAGCAAATATATGGCTTCCCTGATGGCCTTAGAGCCAGAGGGGACACCTTGGGGCACACCCTTCTGTGCACTTGCTCCTGAGGAGTACATTTGGTCAGCCAGGGACAATATGTGCTACCATCCTGTTGAGCATAATTCCTCAGAGGCCATTCCACATGTGTCTCTATTTGAACAACTGCTGGCAGGGAAGGTGCTGGAATGGAGTTGCATAAGGAGTGAAGTCTGGCAGGGGGAACGGTGTGGGAGTTGGCTGAAGACTGAAGCTGGAGGAGTGTGTGCGATCAGGAAAGGGGTGCGCGGGAAGAGGTGGCCAGGTGGGAGGAGAGTAAGAGAGAGTGCGTGGGGACAGAGCAGGCTCTTTGAGCCTGGGGCCCTTCTCCTTGGGCGATGTGCCTCTGCTTCCCACATGGCTCATGGTGAGCATAGGATAGTGGTTTCTGCACCTGTGAGGCAGGTAAACCTTGGGTGACTTGGATATCATTGGCTTGGGGGCTCCCTCCCTGTCTGTCCCACCTCTGCCTCCCTCTTATTAGCTGAGGACTCCCACAGGATATCAGGAAGGACTTTGACCTTGTGAAAAGCCCTGTCAGTGGTTCTGCAGCCTGGCTTTTGAGGGGTTAACTGGTGGGCACCTGGAGAGGGGCTTGGATGCTGCTGTCTCTAAGGGCAGGACTCTCTTCTACCAAGGCCAACGGTGAGGGCACCAGTTGTGACCTCCAGGCCACCTCTCTGACCCACCCCCAGGAGCCATGGTCACACCAGCCTCTCCCACTGGTGGCCCACCCTTGGCTGCCCTTGATCTCTAGCAGCTTGTCCCGTCCCTCTGAGTAGACCAGGAGGCAGAGAGACTCAGAGGTTAAATGGACTCTCTGGCCAGAGGATTGGGAGAGAAGGCTGAAACTGTTGCCCAGAATGAGATCAGGACATCCCCAATGGACAGGGTTATTGGGCTATTCCTCCTCCGGCCTCCTTCTGAGCAGAAAGAAAAGGTGCTCAAACCCAGCCTTCTCCAGGGCTGGGGCCATGGCATGCCAGGCACACTCCCTCCTGATCTCACTGGATTCCCAAACCTCCAAGCAACCTTGACTGATGGCTCTTCCCTTGGGACACAGGCTCAGCCCACAGTGGTCTGGGGCTGGAGGGTGCCGGGCCCTGCATTCCTGTAGCAGGAATTGACCAGGACTCTCCTTCCACAGGCTCTGCCTCAATTTACTCCCATCTCACACCTGGGAGCCCATCTTGGAGAAAGTGACAGGACTCAGGTCTGGACACTCACTGGCTGGGGCTGTGGCCCCACCTCTGAACCACTATATAAGCCCCATGGTGCTGGGCAAAAGAGCTGCCCTCTCTTTCTAGAGCCCCCAAGCTGTACCCCTCCTCCCCATACCATTCTGACCCCAGCCCCTTTCCTTACTGGAAAATCAAACTTCATGCAAATCCTTCCCTCCCACCAGGGAGGATGAAGGGAAGAGATTTGAGGCGAAGATAAGGTGGGGTGGGGGGCGGATAAGGGAAGAAAAGGAATTTCAGCCCCGGAGGTCCCAGCTTCTCACCCTTTGGGTTGTGGCTTGCCTCAGTTTCTCCTCCCTGAGTCCTAGCTCCTCAACAAGGCTTTGCCCAATCTTGTGCCCCACTCTCTCCTCTCTCTTCCACAGCCTCCCCCTCTGTCCAACTGAAGCAAGACTTTGCAAAGAGGTCACCCTGTGGAGGTAGCCTCCCGGTGACCTCAAATCTGGGGACTCAAGCTCAATTCCATGCAGGAACTTCTGGGGGAAGCCCAGGGCCCAGGGCCTGGCCTTATGGACTGGTCTGGCCCTGGACCAGGGGCCAGGACAGGCGCAGGAGCCACTGCCCTCTCTGCAGGCAATTGCCACTGCCAGCCAGCCACTTCGAATTCCTGGACACACTCCTGGGGTCCAGTGTTTTGGCCAGGCTGGGCCTGCCAGGGCCCTGCAGGACGCCACCCACACAGACAGGGTGGAGGGGAGCCTCAGCCCAGCCGCGCCCACCCTGGGGCTGAGGTGAGAAGTCAGCCTGGCTCCAGCCGGCGGGGTGTTGCTGTCCCCGGCCCCCTTCCAACTTACAGGGGGATATTGACCAGGACTGAGCGTGGAGCTCCTGCGGACAGCAGCGCCCCGGGAAGCCCCGGGCTGGAGGAGACGAAAGCGCTCCGGACCTACCTGGGGTGAGAGAAGGGTGTTGGCCGGGCAGGTGGACGCGGCCCGCGCCGGTGAGCCGGGGCCGCCGGGCCGCCAGCCCCTTGGCCGCGCT